TGTTGTTCACCATCTTAGCTGTAGAGGGTGCAGCGTCACTGGCCCTCATGTGGGATCTGAACCAGGGCCCTGCTGCTCAGAGCTGGCGTCCCAAGTCAATTCTTAACCAGCGCGCCACTTGGCCGGCCCCAGACACTTCTGATTACAGCAAACTACTGCTTGAGCAACACTGATCAAAATGTCCACTTGTATTGCTACGCATGCCATTTCAATTTCTTCCCAAAGTACCTCCAGTGTATCCGGTTTTCTATGGTACACCACATCCTTGAAGGTCCCCCATAGGTCAAAGTCAAGGGGTGTTAAGTCAGGAGAACATGAGGGAAACTCAACTGCACCCCTTTGTCTATCCATTGTCTTGGCAAATTCTAATCGAGGTAAGCTCTCACATCTTGGTGGAAGTGCGGTGGGGCACCATCTTGTTGGAAGTGAAATTGATCATTCCCAAAAAGTATATGAATTGCAGGTAAAATGGATATACGTAGCATGTCTAGGTACACTTGACAAAAAAGAGTGGTCCAATTAGTTCCCTTAATGATAGTCCACACAAGACATTGAGGCTTGGTAACTTGACTTCTTTTTCCATATGAACATGTGGATGAACATGTGGATTTTCTGGAGCCCAATACACATAATTATGTCAATTCACTGTTCCGTTCAATTTAAACTGTGCTTCATCAGACCAAACCATCACAAACTCCTCATCCTCTTGTACCATGTTTTGGAACCACTCACAATACTGCACCCTTCAATCAGGGTCGTCTTCATTCAGTGCATGTAATAATCTTGGGATGAAAACTTGCCCTTTTGCTGTTTTAAGAATGTGTCATATGCTTCTTCTGCTAATTCCTGTCTCACATGTACATTGTTTGGTAGACTTCTGTAGCGAGTGTGTAAATTGTTCCAACACCATAGAAGAAGCAGGACTTGTTGCTGTGTGAGGCCTCCCAGATCTTCCCTTATGTACATCACACACAGTACCATGCATCTCAAACTTATCACAAATGCGTGCAATTGTTAGGCGTGTTGGGGGTTCTGTTGCATACTCATGCCTCCATTGTCGTTGTACTTCCACAACATGCTTGAATTTCAAATACCACTTCAAAATGGTCTTGCATTTCTTAAACAACAACCATGCTTCTGCCATTTTCTTTGACTGTCCTACCTGTAGCATCGTGACACTAGCATTCATTTGCTTAATGCCATCTTTTGAGTGAATGTCATACTACACATTGCTACTGTAATTCAATTCAACTTCAAAAAGTACTACATAGATAACATCTCTAAAAATGTGTATACATTTGTTGTTTGTTTGTTTGTTTTTTTAGCTGAGCCATCCTGCCACCTGTTGGCAGCTCAGTGGCAGCTCAGCTCGGGCTGGGACTTGAACCGCTGTTGCTCAGAGCTCGTACTCTTGAGTGAGCTCTTAACCAACTGAGCCACTCGGCCGGCCCTGTATACATTTTTTGGGCACCCCTGGTATGTGCAGTTCTTTGTATGTCAATTATATCTCAATAAAGATGGATACAGGAAGAGAACAAAAAAAACCCCAGAAATTAGAAAAACAATCCCAATTACAATTGCATCAAAAAATAAAACATCTAGGAATAAATTTAACCTAGAAAATGAAACACTTGTACTCAGAAAATTATAAGACATTGAAGAAAGACATTGAAATACAAATAAATGGAAGCATATACCATGCTCATGGAAAGGAAGAATTAACATTTTTAAAGAGCAATCTATAAATTCAATGCAATCACCATTAAAATACCAAAAACAGAAGTAAAACAAATAATCCTACAGTTTATATGGAATCACCAAAGACCCCAAATAGCCAAAGTGATCTTAAAAAAGAAGAACAAAAATGGAGGTATCATACTGCCTGATATCAAATTATACTATGAGGCTATAGTAATCAAAACAGCATGATACTGGCATAAAAACATACAAATAGATTGACAGAACTAGAGAGGCCAGAAATAAACCTATGCCTATATGGTCAATAAATCTATGACAAAGGAGGCAAGAATATACAATAGGGTAAAGGCAATTTATTCAATAAATGATGCTAGGAAAACTGGAAAGATACATGTAAAAAAATAAACCTGGACTACCTTCTTACTCTATATACAAGAATAAATTCAAAATGGGTTTATAAACTAAAAATGGATTAAAGACTTAAATGCAAGACCTGAAACCATAACATTCCTAGAAAAAAACATAGGCAGTAAACTCTCTGACATTGCTCTTAGTAATACTTTTTTGGATATATTTGCTCGGGCAAAGGAAACAAAGTGGGGGAAAATGGGACTACATCAAACTTAAAAGTTTTTTCACAGCAAAGGAAATCATCAATAAAACAAAAAGGCAGCTTACTGAATGGGAGAAGATATTTGCCAAATATATATCTGATAAGGGGTTAATATCCAAAATTTATAAAACACTCATTCAACTCAACACCAGAAAAACAAACAACCCAATTAAAAAATGGGCAGAGGATATAAAGAGGCATTTCTCTAAAGAGGACATACAGATGGCCAACAGGCATATGAAAAAACATTCAGTCTCACTAATCATTAGAGAAATGCAAATAAAAACCACAATGAGATACCACTTCACTCCAGTCAGAATGGCTATTATCAATAAATCAACAAACAAGTGCTGGCGAGGTTGTGGAGAAAAGGGAACCCTGGTGCACTGTTGGTGAGACTGCAGATTGGTGCAGCCATTATGGAAATCAGTATGGAGGTATCTCAAAAACCTGGAAATGGAATTATCATATGACCCAGCAATTCCACTCTTGGGTATCTATCCAGAGAAACCCAAGACGCTAATTCAAAAAAATATATGCACCCTCATGTTTATTGCAGCGCTACTCACAATAGCCAAGACTTTGAAACAACCGAAATGCCCATCGGTAGATGACTGGATTAAGAAACTGTGGTACATTTATACAATCGAGTATTACTCTGCTATAAAGAAGAATGAAATCGTACCATTTGGGACAATATGGATGGACTTAGAGACTACTATGTTAAGTGAAATAAGTCAGTCAAAGAAAGACAAATACCATATGATTTCACTTATATGTGGAATCTAAAAAACTGACTGAACGAGCAAAGTAAAAAGAAGTGGTCTCAAAGATATAGAGGAACAACTGATAGCTGCTAGTTGGGATGGGGAGGGGATGAGGGAGAAGGGGAAGGGATTAGACAGCATAAATACGTAACTACAATACTGCCACAGGGACATGAAAGACAGTTCAAGGAATATAATTAATAATGTTTTAAATATTTTGTAGGGTGTCAGATGGTCACATGTCTTGCTTGGGAGACCGCATCATGGATGGGATAGAGGCTTGATCACTGCACTGTACACCTGAAGCTGATGTATAATATTGTATGTCAACTATAAGTGAATATATATATATACACATATATATATATAGTCATGGGACATGGAGTTAGTGTGGGAGTGGAATCAAGGGAATTATAATAGATATGTAGGATGTATGATATTGCGGGGGGAAGTGGGGCAGCGGATTGGGGGAGGGGGGTTGTCACCTCAAGGGGTAAAAAGTATAACTATTGCACTGTGTTGTACAGCTGAAACTAATTCTAAAAAATGTGGATTTCACAATAAAAAGTAATTTTAAACAAACAAACAAACAAGTGTTGGCAAAGATGTGAAGATCAAGGAACTGTCATTTACTGTTGGTGGGATTGCAAATTAGTACAGCCACTATGGAAAACAGTATGGAGGTTCCTCAAAAAATTAAAAATAGAACTACCATATGACCCAGAAATTCAACTTCTGGATATTTATCCAAAGAAATCCAAAACACTAATTCAAAAAGACATATGCACCTCTATGTTCATTGCAGCATTATTTACAATAGCCAATATATGTAAGCAATCTAAGTTTCTTATTGATAGACAATGGATAAAAAAGATGTGGTATATTTGAATATATATCATACAATGGAATATTACTCAGCCATAAAAAAGAAAAATATTTTTCCACTGTGACAACATGGATGGGCCAAGTGGGTAGTATGGTAGGGGAAAAAGTCAGACAAAGACAAATACTGCATGATTTCACTTATATGTGGAATCTAAATAAATAAATGAACAAACATAACAACACAAACTCATAAGTACAGAGAACAAACTGAAGGTTGCCAGTAGGGAGGAGGGCTGGGAGGATGAGTGAAAAAGGTGAAGAGATTAAGAAGTACAAATTGGCAGTTACAAAACAGTCAAAGGATATAAAGTACAGCATAGGGGATATGCTCAATTATACGTATGGTGCCAGGCTTATCAAGGGGATCACTTTGTAAGTTCCATAAATGTCTAACCACTATGCTAGCTATACACCTGAAAGTAATATAATATTGAATGTTAACTATAATTGGAAAAAAAACCTCAGCAGTTTCCCACTCTCATTTTCTCTTCTCAAGGAGCAACTATCTTTACCTCTTTAAGCTGGATAGTTTGGTATTTACCTCCAATTCTTAAAGACTATGCTTATGTTATCACCTCTTAGTTTTTTAATTTTAGAGATTATTTTATTGACTTCTCACTGTGACTAATGAAGCTGAAACTGTCTTCCTGGTCATATTATTAAAATTCTGTGTTAGTATGGTTTGAGGGAAAGAATTCTGCACAGGCAGTCAAGAGAGGTGGGTCCAAGTTGTGGCTCTTCTAGCCATTTGCCTTTCTAGGTTTGCTTCTTTATCTGTAAACCTTGAAATTTAGGTAAAATTGTAACCAAAGCTCTATCCAGATCTATGACTTTGTTGAGTAAAATTTGCATGAATCAAATGATTATTCAAGTGGCTATTGCTTAAAATAATCCTTTTATAAATCTTTTTTAAAGTGGAGAAAATAGATTTAATTTAAATTGAAAATATAAAATATTCTTAAAGCAAGTTTATCTATACTATCCACAAGTTACAGGAGTAAAAACTAAAAAAAAGGGACTAAAATGCTAACCACAAGAGTCAACCTCCTAGGATGGGAACCTAGGAGTTTTCCCGCTGATCTAAGACTTTGTGATTTATAGCTTATCATAAGAATCATTTTATACCATACCTCATACATGTAGTCATAGACCAGGCCTTTTTCATCAAAATGGCATTCCCATTTACCCACAGATTCAGGAACTGGGTTGTTTTCATTTCCCAGTATGATTAATCGTAGGAAAGAATCAAAAACGAGGCGACCATCTGTATCACAACTTCCTCCAATGGACCAAATCAAAGAAAACATAAAGCAAGCCTGTTGGTAAAAAAGAAAACAAAAAATAACAAACAATTAAACTTAAAATTTTTTTTAACAAATTAATTAAAATTTAACATATTAAAGCCTGGTTAACCTCTTGGAAAAGGTCAGACATATAAATGAAGTAAATTGGAGCACAGCTAAGTCACATAAAGAGTGATTCTCTGGCAATAGCTATCTAAATTTTAAATGCCCATGCCAAATAATATAGGAATTTCTCTTTTAGGAGTTTATCCTGAAATATATTGCCACCTGTCAAAATGATATATGTATAAGAAAATTCACTGCAGCATTGTTTGTGATAGCAAAAGATTAGAAGAAACCCAAATGTTCTTCAATAAGTGTCTGCTTAATTGGACTATGCTACATTTACTGGAATACCAGCTATTTAAAAAGAAGGTAACTCTACTGATATGGAATGATCTCCAAGATAAATTGTGAGAAAAGATGCAAATAAGTATGTATGGCATGCTAACATGTAGAAAAATGTATTTATTAGGCACATGCCTTATATACTTTAAAAATATATCAAATATATTTTAAGAGAAAATTTTCAATCAGGTATCAATCTATATTAGTCTAAAAATGATTCTGAATGATTTAAATAACTGGGAGTTTAGGTTTACTAACAGAATGAAAATTTTCAGGAAATATGTAATACAAAGTTTACATAGGCAAATTATTCCTAGGATACTTTCTTTATTTCTTTCTCTTTTTTTTTAGATTTTATTGGGGAATTGGGGAAGGGGAACAGCCAAGTTGTTGTCCTTCAATCTTAGTTGTGGAGGGCACAACTAGCTCAGCTCCAAGTCCAGTCACCACCCAGCCGCCCGTTGGCAGCTTGTAGTTGCTCAGCTCAAGGTGCCACGTTCAATCTTAGTTGAGGGTGGGCACAGCTCATCATCCCACGCGGGAGTCCAATTGGCAAATTTTTGTTAGGAGCACATGCTCTCACCAGCTGAGCCATCCTGCCACCTGTTGGCAACTCAGCAGTAGCTCAGCTCGGGCGCAGCTCACTGGCCCATGTGGGAATCGAACCGGCGACCCTGATGCTCAGAGCTCGTGTTCTTAACCAACTAAGCCACTCAGCCAGCCCCCTAGGATACTTTTATTTTATAAAAAAATAACAGTGATATATATGGAAGAATATTAAAAACTAGTTCTGTGAAAGGCTACTCCAAATTTAGGAAGAAAAAGGGATATAAATAAGTTATACTTCAAAAAAGTCTGTTCAATTTCTTCTAAAGTAGAGGGAAATAAAGGTGAAAGGGGAGGGGCAAAAAGATATATGGTTAGCAGGGAACTCTGGAATGTGAGATGTCTGAGGTAGAAGATTTGCTGTGGCAATAAGGTGAAGGGGAAACAATAGGAGTGAACCACTGTTACCAAATAGTAAAAGAGAAAGTAGACTGAGTAGAGATAAAGGCATTCAGGAATAAGGTGGCAGATGAGAAAAGAGCATACAGCAGAAAAAAAAACACAACACCTCTTTCCTTTGGCTCCCTCAGAGTCATATTGGCCGGCCTTCTGTGACCTCTAGACATTAACTAACCTGGACCACTGATTCCTCCGTTCCCATGTGCTCTATGGGTTCTGCCAGCAGTGCTCCACCCAGCTAGGCAGATGCCTGCTCCTTGCCTTTTGTAGCCAGCTTTTTGCAGTCTATCTATATCCTGACTTAACATTAAGACAAATCAACTCACCTAAAGTCCATATTGGATTAATCTTAAGTCACCTTATTAAGTGTTTATCAAATTATCATCTTTTATAAATAACAGGATAGATTTGATTCATTCAGACATATTTTACATTCTTTAAAATGTTTTTTAAATCAGAAATCCAGGTCAGGGCAACTTTAATGTCTTCAACTATTCTTTCAGTGCTCACCAAAAACAGCTCTGGATCTTACAATGTCTTCCTCAGTACAAGTATTATTTGCCAGAGGCATATTTTGTTCTGTAATTGAAAACTGCATTAAGTATAAAACCAACCATAATCCAGACACGAATGTGCTTGCTTGTAGGATCATTTTCTACCACGTCGCAGAGCAGGGCTTCAAAGAGGCGTGTGAGAGATACAACCACATTGCTATCACTTGTAGGAATCAGCTCCTGCAAAGTGAAAAACATATCATACTTTCCTTTCATCTGATTTGAAAAATAAAAGAAGACAAATATTTCATTAAAAAGCTGACAAAAGCATACATGGTTTTCATAAGGTCTGTATAACAAACTTACAGAATTTAAACTATGCATGATACAAGCATCTCTCAAGTGTTTTGGTTTAGCATGTTATATTATACAATTGTATATAACATATTCTAAATTCTTTGGTAAATGAAAACTAGCTACTCTAAGAGAATAAACAATGTTCTAGGGATAGCAGAAATAAAGTCTCTAACAGCCACTCATTCATTTATGTATTCAACAAGCACTTATGAAAAACATACTATACCCATATACCAAGCTAGGAGATATGGAAATAAAACACAGTCTCTGAAAAGGAATGATACTAAAATTAAATAGACAACAATACTATGGGGTAATACTGACAAGGCAGAGGAAGTCCCAGGGTAAGAGAAGGCTACTAGAGTACTTGGGATAAACAATTATCCCAGACCCAGGGAGGAGGACAAGGAGGGAAATGGGAGAGGAATAAATCAAGGAAGGCTTCCCAGATGAAGTAATAGCAGAGCTGAATTTGGGGAAAAATGTGAGTTAGCCAGGTGCAGAGGGAAGGACGTTGAAGGTAGGAGAAACTACATATACACAGGAATAGAGTTGCACTAGGGGCCTTGGAACATATCCCCCATGGATAAGGGGAGGACCACTATATTTCAAAGCTCTAGTAAACAAATCAGTATGGTACTGACACAAAAACAGATACATAAACCAATGGAACAGAATAGAAAGCCCAGAAATAAATCCAACACATACAGTCAACTAATCTTCAACAAGGGTGATAAGAATAGTCTCTTCAATTAATGGTGTTGGGAAAATAATGAAATTGGCCCTTATCTTATGCCACACGCAAAATATATCCAAAATGGGTTAACCACTTACATGTAAAACCTGAAATTGTAAAGCTCCTGGAAAAAAAAACACAGGATAAAAGCTCCTTGACATTGGCCTTAGAAATTATTTTTTGAATATGACACCAAAAGACTGGCAACAAAAGCAAAAATTAACAAGCAGAATTACATTAAATTAAAAGCACAGTAGGCCGGCCAAGTGGCACTATGGTTAAGAACTGGCTTGGGACGCCAGAGGGCCCTGGTTTGGATCATATGTGGATATGAGGGCCAGTGACACTGCCCTCCACAGCTAAGATGCTAAACAACAGCTCAACATGGAGCTGGGCTGCAGTGAGGCGACGGCGTAGGCTGCAGCCCCTTTGGCAGTGGGTTGCCATGGGCTACCGTATGTAGCCAGCAGCCAGCATAAGCGGGCAGCAGCCGCAGTGAGCGGCCGTCCAGAAGCCGGCGACTGATCTGCCTCGCCTGGGAAGAGCACAATGATGGTGCCAACTTGGGCCAGTGAAGCAACGTCCTCCACAACTAGACTGAAGAACAAAAACGACAGCAACTTGTCTGTTCCCCTTCCCCCAATTCCCCAGCACTGTTCCCATCCCCCCAATTCCCCAATAAAAAAAATCTTAAAAAAAAAAAGCACAGTAGAAGCACAGCAAAAGAAACAATCAACAAAGTGAAAAAGCAACCTATGAATTGAGAGAAAATATTTGCAAACTATCTGATAAAGAGTTAATATCCAAAATATATAAGAAACTAATACAATTCAATACCAAAAAAGCCCATCAGAACTTAAAAATAGTGAGGGACCTGAATAGATATTTTTTTCCAAAGAAGACATACAAATGGCCAACCGGTATATGAAAAGGCACTCAACATCACTAATCATCAAGAAAATGAAAATACAAATCAAAACCACAATGAGATATAACCTCACACTTGTTAAAATGGCTATTATTAAAAAGATAAAAGATGGTAAGTGTTGGTGAGGATGTAGAAAAAAGAAAAATCTTTGTGCACTGTTGGTGGGAATATAAATTGGTATGGCCATTGTGGGAAACAGTGTAAAGGAGCCTCAAAAAACTACAACTAAAAATAGAACTATCATACAATCCAGCAATTCCTCTTCAAGGTATATAACCAAAGGAAATGAAATCAGTACCTCAAAGAGATATTTGCGCTCCCAATTCATTGCAGCATTATTCACAATAGCCAAGACATGGAAACAAACTAACTGTCTATTGATGGATGAGTGAATAAAGAAATTGTGGGGGCCGGCAGAGTGGCGCATTGGTTAAGAGTTGGCTTGGGACTCCAGCTCTGAGCAGCAGGGCCCCGGTTCAGATCACACACTGCCCTCTACAGCTAAGAGGGTGAACAACAGCTCAATCTGGAGGTGGGCTGCAGTGAGTTGGCGGCAATGGCATAGGCTACAGCCTCTGCTGCAGTGGGCTGCCGTAAGCTACTGTGAGCGGCCAGCAGCTGGCAAGAGCTGCGTGAGCGACTGTGAGTGGCCATCCAGAGGCCAGCAACCGATATGGCTCACCCGGGAAGAGCGCAATGATAATACCAACATGGGCCAGTGAAGTGACGTCCTACACTACTAGACTGAAGAACAAAAGGACAGCAACTTGTCTGTTCCCCTTCCCCGATTCCCCAATGATGTTCCCCTCCCGTAATTCCCCAATAAAATCTTTTAAAAAAGAAGAAAAGAAATTGTGGTATATATACACAATGAAATATTACTCAGCCTTAAAAAAGAAGGAGATTCTGGTATTTGCCACAACATGGACTAACCTTAACATTATAAGAAGTGAAATAAGCCGGACACAGAAAGGAATAAACTGAATGATCTCACTTACATGAGGAATCTAGAAGTTGAATACATAGAACCAGAAAATAAAACAGTTGTTACCAGGGATGGAAAAATGAGGGAAATAGGAAGACCTTGAGGAAAGGGTACAAAGTTGAACTTATGTAGGATAAATAAGTCTAGAGATCTAATGTACAGCATAATGACTACAGGTATTGCAAATTTTCTAATAGAGTAGATTTCAGGTGCTCTCACCACACACATACACACAAAAATGTGGTAGCTACTTGAGATGATATGTTAATTAGCTTGACTATAGTAATCACTTTACTATGTGTATAATATATATGAAATTATCATGTAAACTTTAAATATAATTTTTATTTTTTAAATATTTTAAAATAAAACCCAGAGGGATAAACACATACACACATACCTGAGTACAAGTGTAATGAGGGGAACTGAATAAGATTAATAGATAGTATCAATGTCAATATCCTGGTGATATTATAATATAGTCTTGCAAAATGTTATCATTGAGGAAAATTTTGTGAAATGTACATGGGATTTCTATTATTTATTACAACTGCCATGTGACTCACTGATTGTCATAATAAACATTTCAATTTTTTAATAAATGGACACTAAATGTCTGAGGTGAAACTGATTTTAGTTATTTATACTATCGTTGTGGCTTTTAGACTTAGTCAAGTTAAATAAAAACTAAAGAAACTTGAATGGGTTAGAGAATTAGAGTATTACCTTGCATTTTTTCTTACGAAGCTTTAAAGTAGGCTGTATTAACCAGTCAAAAAGTCCTCTCAGCAGAGCCTGATGATCTGGTTCCTGTAGAGGTCCTTTCAGTGAATTCAACCATGAAGACACAAGAGGTTCCCATCCTAACTGTGAGGGTTCCAAATAAATCATGCCACAGCGGCTTACAGTGGCAGGCTAGAGAAAAAAGACAAATTTTTTTTCCATTGTTGCTTTTATATTAGTAGTATCCAGCAGTTTTTAAGTAATTCTTTGCATGACTTATAAGGCCCTTCATGATCTGGCTCCTGTCTCTGTCTTTCTCTACAGTCTCACATACATTAGATGAAACTATCTGTAATCACAGTTCCCCAAGCATGTCATGGCTTCATGTCTTTATATCATCTTGTCATGATTTGGAATGACCAGCCCCAACCAAACTCCCTGGAGAAGTCTTATTCCTTAAAACCAGGTCAAATATGCAAATGTTTCCCTTGGTCCTCCTCTACCCAGTCCCCTCTGGGGCACTCATCCCCTCAATATTCTCAAAGCACTGACATGTAGCTCTATATTGGGATTATTTATTAGCATGCTTCTCATCCTCTATAAATGAGCATACACTGTGTCTTACTAATCTTTGTATTTATAGTGCCTAACTCATCTTCTGAGACATACAAAAAAAATTATTGACTAAATGAATGAATAAATGAACAAATAAACAAAGTACTGTTATATAAAATTCTGAACTTACTGAGGCCTGGGAAAGGTCCATTGCTTCAAAGATGAGGCTCATTTGAGGAGACATTTGAATGATTTCTCCACTCATAAGGCAAAGCTAAAAGCAATTATTTTTCAGATGTTTATATAAAAAAATTCTCAAACTTCTCAGATAAAAATTTATTCTATTTATAAGATAATATATAATATATGTCTTGTGATATGATGTAATAAGTGTTAGAATGGAAGCTAGAAAATCATAATTCTAGGTCTAGCTCTGTCAATTACTTACTAGGTAAGCAAATACATAACATCCCTGAGTCTCAGGCTCTTCGTCTATAAACAGGGATAATTTCTCTCTCATAGAGTAAGAGGGGAGGGAAAATATGACACACTGCAAAAACTATAAAATCCTATACAAATCTCAGTTCTTGTTATTAATAAAATTATATGAAATACTCTTGATTTTATAAAGTTGACAGAGACTTTTCATTCATAAAAAAAGGGAAAAATAGAAAAAAATGTGAACACTCATATACCCATCTCCTAGATTTTACCAATGTTAATATTTTGCCATATTTGCTTCATCTTTCTTTAAAAATTATTTTAAAAAGCATTACACATACCATGGCATTTCACATCCAAATATGTCAGTATTCATCTAAAATATAAGGACTGTTCTATATAACCATAATAACATGATCACATCTAACAAAATTATCAATAATTCCTTAATATCATCAACTCAGGTAATACTCAAATTTCCTCAAGTGTACCATGAATATCTTTAAAACTGATTTATTCAAATCAAAATTCCATCAATGACTATGTATTATGTTTGCTATGTCCCCTAGGTCTCTTTTAATATAAAATATTCCTTTTTCATTAAATACATAAAAACTGAATTTATCAACTGCTTCCTCTCTGCCAAACTCCTTTCTTGTCCATTATTATTAAAGCCATCCAGTCATCTCAATCTCCTTGGTTTCTAACTTTAGAAGTACCATTAACTTTTTTTTTAATTTTATTGGGGAATTGGGGAAGGGGAGCAGCCAAGTTATTGTCCTTCAATCTTAATTGTGGAGAGCGCAGCTAATTCAGCTCCCACGTCCAGTTGCCATGCGGCCACCTCTCAGCTCAAGATGCCATGTTCAATCTTAGTTGCAGGTGAGTGTAGCCCACCATCCCACACAGAAGTCGAACAGGCAACCTTGTTGTTAAGAGCACATGCTCTCACCAGCTGAGCCATCCTGCCACCTGTTGGCAGCTCAGCGGCAGCTCAGCTCAGGCACAGGTCACTGGCACATGTGGGAATCAAACCGGCGACCCTGTTGCTCAGAGCTTGCACTCTTTACCAACTGAGCCACTCAGCCGGCCCAATCATTAACTTTTACTAATTTAAATAATCGTTATTAATTGTTGATATTCCAAATTTCATTCTTAAATCCTTTAAATTCTTCCTATTCATTTATTTTTCAGTGTTTCTTCTCTGCCTCTACAATCATCACTATAGTCCCAGTTTTGCCCCTATGTAGCTATATGTTGACAATGTGACATTTACCATTTTTGGATCTGTTGCTTATCTGTAAAATAAATAAATGGTCTGGACCAGGACTGCTCACTATGCTTACCAGTAATCATATGTGGCTATTTATATTTAGCTTAACTAATGAAAGTTAAATAATATTTAAAGTCAGTTTTTCAATTGCACTAAGCCACATTTCAAATGCTCAATATGTGCATGAATGCTCAAAAAGACACATGTGACTAGTGGCTGTCTTATTGGGCAGTGCAGATATTTACATCATTGCAGAAAGTTCTATTGGACAGTGCTAGTCTAGAATACTTTTAACCTTTTATCAGATTATTTTATCAAATGTTCTTGTACTTGCTACAAATTTGGGAGGTGGGGTTAGCTTTCTCCTTATACCCTCATGTTGTTTCCCAAGTACTTCTACTCCACCCTCCAGTACAACCCTTGCTCCTCACACAAACCCTGCTGCTGCTGTCATCAGCACCCAATCATCCCCCCTTGTTAAAGCTTTTGGAACTTGGCTCAATCTCTTTCTACTATAACTCTGCCCTGACCCAGTGCTTATGAAAAGGAGCATCTTATAAACCTTGGATCTGTGACCACCTTGTCTTGACTTACTTTTCCCCCTACTCCACTTCAGCCATCCACTTTATATACCTGGGACCTTCTATCCTGGAACACTACACAATTCTGAAATACTAAATTCAAGCATCCCACAGACTCCTACCTATCCAGCTTTCTCACTCATTGACTCCTACTACACTTTCTCTTCATTTTCATATCCCTGTTGTTTTCACTTCCTCCATTATTAAGCAGCTTCTGTTTTATGGTCTAGCATTTCTACCATTCTCATGCCAATATCTTTAAGGTCTCTGTATTTCTAATCTAGCAACACTATCTACACCCACATCCAAACTGCTTAGACTGTTAGAGAATATCTCACAAAGGCATACTTTGGCATTAAAACTAAAAATTCGTGGTCTTCAGCTCAATCAAGTTATCTGTAACACTACGCTATACTTCTATGTTGTCTTACGCATCTCTCTTTCCCATTTCCAAACAGCTAATTTAAACTTTCCCCTTTCTCCTCAAGTGTGCAAAAAAACAGGTAGGTCCTACCATTTCACAAAGGAAAAAAAAACAATCAAAAGGATTTGGCTTCAAATTTCCATTATTAAATCCATACATTCACCTGTGTCTATACTTATCCATTCTTGCTTCCCTCTCATCCAACATGAGACAATCTTTCTACCTGGTTATGAATCCTTAGACATGACTCTACTGATTAACCCCTCTCTTTGGAATCATTGCAATTCTTGCCTGTTTACTACCCCCTGTCCTTAGCTCAGTCAATATGACTGAATGTATGTAAGAAAGAATATGAATAAATGACCAACCACCTATGATAAAGTACTAGGATACATGTTTGAATGCTAATTAATTTGCTTATTTAGTGGTGTAGTGATTTCACATAAGTATGAAAATAAATTGTGCTATATTTATACAGTAGAATACTACTACAGACATTAAATAAATAAATAAATAAATAAATAAATAAATAAATAAATAAATAAATAAATAAATAAAATGGAACATGAATAGCACAGATGCTATATTGGCCTAAAGAAGGAAAACACTAAAGAGTATAATTCCATTTACATGAAGTTTAAGAACCAGCAAAGCTAATTCATCACAGTAGAAGTCAGAATAGTGATTGCCCCTGGAGTTTACCAATTGGGAAGGAACATGAGTGAACCTTGTAGGGTGCAAGAAATTTTATGCATCTTTATTTAGGTGATGGTTATGTGAGTGTACATTTACGTTAAAAAAAATCACAGAATCTAAACTAAAGTTAATGCACAATCTATCTATCTATCTATCTATCTATCTATCTATCTATTTATTTATTTAGCTGAGCCATCCTGCCACCTGTTGGCAGCTCAGTTTGGGCCGGGACTCAAACCGCTGTGCTCAGAGCTCACACTCTTGAGCGAGCTCTTAACCAACTGCACATTTTATACTTTATGTATGTTATCTCTCAATTAAAATAAATACTAGAAATCTTTCATTTTCTGGTTCTTTTGTATATCTCACAGCTTCTAAGGTAATGTACCACATATAAGCACTGAATCATTCAATGTTTAAAAAAAAACAAAATGAAGCCCTTTTATTTTTTCTTAGAATATTAATTTAAAGTTCTGTAAGAAACCATAGGTCTGGAGTCACTTTACAATTTATCATCACCTATTACATTTCTATGCCTTCCTGCTAATGCAGTAATTTTAATACAATATACTTTTATTCTATGAAAAATTAAGTAAAGGATTTACTACAGCATAGTTTTCATTGAAAAGATAATTTGTAAAATTAATCAAATTGCTGCATCCCTCACTTCAAATATACAGTCCTAGGCAATTAGTTGTTGAACATATATCATTGTTTAAGCTTATCTACATTTGCTTTTTAAAATTGTGGAATAAAACATATAACATTAAATTTACCAAATTAACCATTTTTAAGTTTACAATTCAGTAGTGTTAGGTATATTCACATAGTGCATCTGTTTTGCTTTTAGTAATGATGATTTACCTTTCTATTATCATCCAATACCGTGTTCATGCTCTCTATCCACAAAGTGTCAATGGGACCATCAAATATAACCCATTTTCGATCAGGTGTTTCCGATAAAGCAAATTCTCTAAAAGTGTTAGCCACAATACCATCAGTCCACTGAGGAGGAAAAAGGGAAAAGTTGAAAAGCTTCCTATATAAAACTACAAAGTGATAATATGAAAACATTTCAAATTTCTTGATTTAATGTGCATTGTCAATAAGAGTTAAGAATGTTTATATTATCAATTACCTCATGAGATACTGGGTCAAACTGTCCAAAAAGTTGGCCCATAGTAATGGATTTGGGGTTTACAATCCTATAAATGACCTTTTCTTCCTCTCCACAGCCACGTTCATTCATAAGAGTTAGAGTATCAGCCAGCATATGCAGAACTTTTGTCTTAGCAGCAAAAGGCTCTCCTACTAACATAAAGCTATTAAGAAAAAGAAGCAATTATACAATAAGACTTTTTTTAAAGTAAATTATATGCCTATATACTGGTATATAAAATTTTACCCTATGATAATTATTACATATAATTTTTGGAATTGTATGAATTTTTCTCAGACATGAGGAAAATACATTTAACTTCTGAACTGGTTGATCTCTAAATCAAATTCTCTACACCAATACTATCTACACCAATATTATCTACAAAAGAAAGTATAATTTTTAAAAACCTCCAAATAAAAATGAAAACTTAATAATTGTATACTCTTAAAATTAAAAGAAATTACTTGGGTCCTCCCAAGGAAAGGAGTGAGAAGGATTCTCTTTCCTCAAGTCTTCACTTGCTGTAGTAATTATTAGTGCTCTTGGCCAAATACTGCTGAATCTTTCTCCTCCACACAGTAGGATTCCTCACCCTCTTGGGAAAATAATAGGTGACTAAAGAGTAATAAGTGGAAATGATGGGTGTTACTTCCTAACAGGGGACAGATAATTGCCAGAGAGGGATCTTACAGAGCTTTCTTTTCCCTCTAGCACAGCTATGACCTACAATGTTGAGATGGTGACTGTTCCACCAGCCTGGGGCCCTGAGTAATTATGATGAGCAGAACTTCTCTGTTAACCTATGATGGATACAGCATGAATGAGAAATAAACCTTTGTTTTTTTAAGTCACTAAGATTGGGGTGTTGACTTTTTCTACAGAATACCCTAACCCATCCTTATTGACAGAAATTGGTACCTAGAAAGGGGAAAGGTATTCTTGTTATAATAAAAAAAGACTAAATTATGTGGCATTGGCTTATAGACCAGGTCATGGGTGGCAAATTAACTACTGGGCTGTCGGAAAAGTAATGACATATTTTTGCAACGAAAAACATAGAAAAAATACATCATGACTTTTCTGACAAGCTATTATTATTAAGGGCTCAAAGACAGGCAATTAATGTTATGCAATGATGAAACATTTGGTCAATTTATCCCTTGAAATGAACTGGAAGACAGATAATATACCTAATGAAATTGTAGTTTTCGGGGAAAAAATAGTAAATAGAATATTATTAGTATATAATGACTAATTAGTATATAATGGCTGAATTTAACAAGGAACTACAAGAAAGAAATAAACCCAGAAAAAAAAACAGGCAGTTTGCAAGCAAGAATGAAAGAGAATAGAAAGAGTCCAGAAATTCAGGAACTTGCAGGACTGAAAGAGGCAATTTGTTCTCATCCTCCACTGGTAAAAGATAAATTGAGAAAATCTTTGAAGAACAAAGATCTACTTAGCCTGGAATCAAAGGTCAAATCAAGGGTTGGCCATTGTATCACTTTATTAAAACATAAAAGATTGGCATGGTTCCGAGTAATCTTTTCAGTAGAATAAAATACGGAGGGTGCCCCAAAAATGTGTACACATTTTAGGAAAGGAAAAAACTATATTAAAATTTTAATACTCAATATATACCAATAACAAAAGTTGAATGCAAGTCATGTGTATACATTTTTTGGGCACCCTGGTCATTCTCAGAAAATCGACTAAGAGTGTGGCCCTTTCAATTAAGCTTGATAGGTTCAAGGATACTCAAGGAAGTTCAGAAATGTATGACTTAATAAGGACAGTAGTTGTGGCTTCCTGGAATCAAATAGATAAAAAGCTTATTAAGTTTTTGAGAGTGTTTACTGACCAAAAAAACCGTAAGTCTAGGCTAAAATAGATGTGAAAGTTTAAGACTTAAAAATGATCATTCGGGGGCTGGCCAAATGGCGCGTTGGTTGGGAGTTGGCTTGGGATGCCAGCTCTGGACAGTGGGGGCCTGGTTCGGATCCCACATGTGGGCCAGTGGCGCTGCGCCCTCTGCAGCTGAGATGGTAAACAACGGCTCGACCTGGAGCTGGGCTGCCGTGGGTCACTGGTGATGGTGTGGCCCGCAGTGGGGCTGGCCACAGCTGGCGTGAGCTTTCACGAGCTGCAGTGAGCCACCGTGAGCGGCCACCCAATGACCATCGGGTGGCTGCCTCACCCAGGAAGAGTGCAATGATGGTGCCAACATGGGCCAGTGGGGCAACATTCTCCGCAACTGGACTGAAAAGCAAAAGGAGCAGCGACTTGTCTGTTCCCCTTCCCCAATTCCCTAGTGCTGTTCCTCTCCCTCAATCAAAAAAAAATCATTCAGTTTTGGATGCATGAGTGTTGACTGTATTAGTATTCTCCCTATTTTTGTACATGTTTGAAAATTTACATAATATGAAGGTTGTTTTGTTTTTAAATCCTGCCTTTAAAATAGTCATGATCTTAGAGACCTCAACTTTCTATAGGCAGAAAGCAGGCTGAAAACATTTTGCAACTCCAAGGACATTTTCTCTATTGTTCACTTCACAGGGAAGAAAATGAAGATGGAAAGACCCCTCAGAAAGTTGAACCAAGTTCCATGAAGAACAGGTAACTGGAAAGCCCCTCCCAGGGAACAAAATCAAGCAAAAGTGAATCCAGGTTTTATGGGGTTTAAGTTTACACAATTGGTGGGGGAGGTTATCTAAGGAAAAACAAAACAAAACATATATATATATATGCACACACACATATATGTAATTATGAATACAAAATGTCCACAGCCACTTTAATGACACCATATATAATAAATTATGTATACAAAATAATTATGACTCCTTAGAGGGGCCCCTCCTAGTGAGAGGTCCTGAAGTTTAAATTCCATTAATCTCATCCTATCTCCAGGAATGGGGCCCCCACATGCCTAGCTGGGTTTCACAGTTGCTACTGACCAGTGTTGGCTTTGTTTCCTATTTCACCGTATTTCCTACTTGTCTCCTATTCTTCAATTTCTGAATGGGAGTATTTGCTCCAATAATCCTGCCCGTTCTGTAAACCCACTACTATAATACTGGGTGTGTGGAGGGCAGATAACTTTCCAGTTTGTAGGTCTCTGGATCAAGAACAACAACTTCCAAAATTGATACAGAAACTATTAGGCATCACCTAGCTATCCTGAACTTTGAGTCTGGTTCACTGATTAATTGAAACTTTTAGGTTGTCTCCTTGGAAGGGAAGAGTGTATTTTATGTGCATGAAGGAGACTAAATAACATATCTGATGACCAAAAGGGCAAATAGTGGTGGTCATCAGTACTGCATCACTGAATGAGCACTCCTTACCAATCCTTGTTGGACAGTAGCATGAGAAAGAAATAAACCTTTGTTTTTAAGCCACCACGATGAAATAGTTGTTTTAATAGTTTAATTTTAAAATAACATCCAGTACTGACAAACAATGATAATCTATCATCTTACCCATGTCTAACAATCATCATTTCATATGTCTGAATCATTTTTTCAAGAAAGAATTTCACAGGCTGAAGATTGTGTACTTTGCAAGCTTCATGAGCACATTCCAAAAATTCCTAAAAGAAAAATGGAATGCATTTCTATATAATGTCATTATAAATCATATCACACGTCTTATAAACGTAGACTTTTCATTTAGAAATAAAAATATTGTACTTTCTTATGTTGATAAATTATTTCTTAAAGCTGTATTTTTTAATTAAAAGGAGAAACAAATAGAATTAAAATACTTTTAAATTATTCATATTCCACATTATAAGTTATTAAAGATTATAGCACCATAGCAGTGGATGTATGCTACATGAAAACAACTCCTTTTAATAGTGCTTTCCAGAATTTTACTTTTGGATAGGATATAGAAAGACATTCCAAACAACCCTTCACACTGTAGTAACTAGAAATAAACAGAGAGGCTAAAAAAATTCATAAATATTATTAAAGATACAGAAGCACTTTGAATATAAATAAGTCTAAAAGAACTAAATTTCAGAAAGGGATGAACCTTTCTTAGGTGAGTACAAATCAACAGCTAATTTTGCCCCTAGGAACATTTTCCAAGTGTGAACACAGATGGGCAATGGATTGGGCCTGCTACAGGCAGAGGGACTTTGCTGAAGTAAGAAGAAACCAACAGAGATTTTAATGGCCATATGGGCAATGAGTGACAGATTTTAATTGGGAGGAGCCTCAGACACAAAGTTCTCCCCATTCCTATGCTTATGCTAAATGTGTGGTGATACAAGAAATCAAGAGCTTAACTAGAAGGCACACAGAGAGAGGGATTGCCTTAGTCTTGGGATGCTTATATCCCAAAATGCTGCTAGAGGAGGGCTTTAAAAACAGGACAATTCTCACTCTAAAAACATTTGAAACCAGATGTAAACTAAAGCTCAATAATGCTGCAACAAAACTCTGACGTAGGTCAATTCCTGATTGATCAGCAGCTCAATTTAGCTATCTGACAAAAGGAAAGACATGGTTTTTCTGCAGGAAAATAGTACCATTTTATCCTCTACAATTACTTTATACATATTTTTAATATAAAAATCAAAATTTATAAGTCACAAGAAATAACTGATGATCAAGAGAAAAAGACTGTAAGTAAAAGAAACTCACAGATGACCCATATGTCATAATTAGCAGTCAAGAACATTAAGATAACTTACAAATGTACAAAAAAAAAAAGACAATGTAACAGAAAATAAATAGAAAGATAAAGAATTTAGGGCTGGCTGAGTGGCGCATTGGTTAAGAACTGGCCTGGGACGCCAGAGGGCCCCGGTTCAGATCTCACATATGAGGGCCAGTGACACTGCCCTCTATAGTTAAGATGCTGAACAACAGCTCAACCTGGAGCTGGGCTGGGTTGCCATGAGCCCCCGGCGACAGCGTAGGCTGCAGTCCCTGCTGCAGTGAGTT